TGTTGCAGCTGTTGCTGCTGCTGCTGTTTCTGATGCTGCTGTTTCTGCTACTGCTGCTGCTGCTGCTATTGTTGTTGTTGTTGTTGTTGTTGTTAAAACTGTCTTGACCACGACATTTTCTTTCACTACGTCACCAGCAACTTTCGTGTCCGCTACATGATGCCCGGAGGCCAGGAGTTCGTGGATTTTACCACTCTTGTGGTGGAAATGGATGTCCACTACACCAAGATTTTGCCGGTAATGAATGCCCTTATAGTCCGAGCGCCAGATGAAAAAGCTTGTTTTGCGTCATTAAGTTTTTTTCTTTGGTGATTCTAACAGAGTTTTCATTGCTGATTTCAAATCTAATGGGGGCCAAAATGCTAAACTTTGGGCATTTTTGTCTAAAAGTGAAAATCCAAGATGGCCGCCATAGAATTTCGAGTGAAAATGTTGTGAGGGATATCATGCATTTAAAAGACTTAAAAATGTACACACTTAATTAAATAGCATTCAGAGTGACAAAAGTAACCACACTTGATGAAATACACATCAAATATTCGATAAAATGGCACCTTAAAAGAAAACAAGATGGCCGCTATATAGTTTTCATAAATGTGCTTATCCGCAATACACTTGAAATCGCCGCATAAAAATCACGACCTCACATGGATAAGTTCTGCCTCGTGGCAGAGGGCGACACACACACACACACACACAGACACACACACACACACACACACACACACACACACACATATATATATATATATATATATATATATATATATATATATATATATATATAGTTGCGAGCGCCGTACTACTAATATATATATATATATCCGTATATTTATATAGAGACTACAATATTACTTTACTTTAAAGCATTTCATCAAGGGCGTCTGGATGTAGGCGCTGCTTGGATCGGAGATAGTACAAACCATAGCGAGCATAGTTGATGTGTCCAGACGCAAAGAAGTAGGAGAGCATCTTTTCTACAGCAAACGAGTGAAGAGTCCTGTCAGCTTCTCTCTCAGCCCGAACAAAGGCCATCATAATGAACACTGGGTCAAGGATGCACTCAACCGAAAGTTTTGTGGTTTTACTCTGGGTGATTTTGGTGACGAGACTTTGCGTGAGTTCAGCTATGGTGTGTAGGCCTACGTCAGTGTTGAGGAGAATGGATCGCAGTAACTCCTCAACAAGAAGTCTCAATGCTTTTACATTTTGTGGGTATTTTTTCTGGATCAACATTTTTGGCACCCTTACAAGTGCTGAGCCAAGTCTTCAATGCCACTTCCTCTCATCAGGTATCCCATAGCACTAACGAAACACCTCTGTATATGCATACCGCACCAAGTCTTGGGATGAACTTCTGAAACTGTTCCTTGTCAGCCCATGTGATGTGGACAAGTTCTTTGTATAGCTGCTAGTCCCTGTTGAATATTGTCCATCCCTGACCAGTGAGCTGTGTCAGATCCTTGGCTTCACCCATTTCTGTTTTCATAGTGTCTGGCTCAGGTGGGATCATGTCCAATAATGGGCTGTACACCACAACTGTCTTTGGTTGGGTTGTTGTTCTGCACTGCGTTCACTTTGTGTGTTATAACCTCCATACTCAGGTCTTGCATCTTCGCAGAGTGCCTGTTTAAAAAATGACAGATCCTCATTCAGTTGCAGTTCTGTATAGAGAAACCTGTCGTGTGGCAAGAAAGACCAGAGATGGGACATGTCACAGGCACAGATCTTTCGGCATGAGTGGTTTCTTGTTTCCTGTGTACCTTTGAACTGCAACGTCACCAAGTGTCAGATTATCGGACGCCTGATGGTGGGAATATCTTGCATTTCCCACACCTGCTCTGACTTCTGCTTGTTGGCTTGTGCCAGCATCATTGCTACGCCGTGCGTTGATTTGTGGCCATTTGGAGATGATATCTGCGTGTCAAAGTTGCTAGCTACAACTTGAACAAGTCCTTGTTTACTGTAAAAGTAGGCCAGTCCTCATGGAACAGATGCCACAGCAACAGCAGCTGAACACCGAAAGCGCCTCAGTTCGTCGTATGAGGTGGTGAATCCATACGTATGAAGCTCGTCTATAAATTTCCTCTGTCGACTCAACAGGATACTAAGTCCATGTTGCAAGTTTGTGAAATAGCTGCTGACTGTACTCGTAACAAATTTGGCCAATCGTTGCTGCTGGCAGTGTAGAATCCAGTTTGGGGTCTGTGGCTGCAAGGAGCGAAAGCACAAAGTTGGGCTGCACTCATTCATGACAAATCCCCTAGGTAGACGAGTTGGGTACGTATGGCGATTGGGCTTTGGACATTCTGCTTTGATCACGCTAACCAAGCATGATATGGCTCGTCCATTGCAGTCTTCTTCATCATCCACAATACGCATATGGGCAGAAGCCGTGCTCCTGAAGACGAGGATGGAAGCCACACCTGGTGAGGACATGATCGGCAATTCTGGTTCAGGAGTGAACATCGCGGTTTGTCTTTCCCTCCAAGTTCAATATAGCGTTCATAGGCTTCCACACTATTCCACCTGCGTGATTTGTTTCATCGAATTTCCTCAACCAGCATACTAAAGACATTGTCATGCGTTGTAGGTGAGCTAGTTGATTGCGTTGGACTGCTTGTGTAGAACCAGGAGCAGCAGTCTCTGTGACACCTAGCGTCTGCTGCATGCAAATCACTGACTGTTGATGACACACGGAAGCTGACATCTGTTCCCCATTTGTCCCCACGTTCCTTGGCACTTTTTGTATTTCTTCTTTGGTGATCTCCCTCCCTTTCTCCTCTCCAGTTCGGCGTAAGTAGGCTTTTTCCAACGATGTGGGTGTTTTAGGGGGTATCAGTGATCATGCTTCTCCACAGAAAAACAATGTTCATGAAAATTATACGAACTAGTACTGCCCCTATGACGGTCGGGTTCTTCTTCAGAAAGTTCCTCAGTCTTCCCCTTTAGTAAAAATTGCTTAATATGGTCTCTGGAACAATGTGTGCTCTTACAGTTCTGGTGACACAGTATAAACTCAGCATCTTCTGAAAGTCTCTGACTGAGTCCATCATCTCGCTGCCGGCTTGCTTCCAGAAAATCACTAATCCGTCTCGATTTGATCAGGGGTGGGTTCTTTCTTTGACAGAAAAAAAACATTCCATGTCTGAGAGAGAGAGAGAGAGAGAGAGAGAGAGAGAGAGAGAGAGAGAGAGAGAGAGAGAGAGAGAGAGAGAGAGAGAGAGAGAATCGCATTAGTATGTGTAATTGAGTGAGACATTGTGTGTGTGCATGTGTATGTTGCATGAACCAGCCTGATCGCATCACGTCCTTGTGGATACGTAGCGTTTTCCCACATTCTACGGAGGTGTGGTGTGACGAAGCACTGTCTGCCAATGTCTCCATACTCCTTGCTTTGCTAGCTGAGTCCATATTACAGCAGGCCGTGCTGTGCACCTTTCGGTGCATCCTGTGACATCACGATGAGAGGAACTGTGTTAGCGTTAGGCCTAGTACCCTCGCGCGAATCTTGGTCGACTCGTACATGGTAGAGGAGGAATTCAGACTCTAAACTCCTTCCTGACCCGTTGCCGAAGTGAGTGTTCCTATTTGTTGATGAAGTAATGCTAACCCGTTTATCTAAGAGGTTTTGCGGAATCGGTTCATAACATATTATTTGCCTAAGAGGTGTACTAACATATTACCCGGATTTTGCTAAAGCGACTCATGGCCCAGCTCTAGTCGCTCGGCTATCATTCTTGCATGATACGGGTTGGTGTATTTCAGCCAGCAGAAAAAAATTATGCCCATAAGATACAAGTTGGCCCCCGACTGATATGAAGTCTAGAGACCCAGAGGAAGCAGAATCCCCAAAGAAAAATACTTTATGATGAAAAACAATGTTCTAGTCTTTATATAGACCCGGCTCTCGGACTATTATCTAGAAAGAACTTTTTAAAAGTAAGTTAGTAAGTAAGTTTCTAATAGGACTTAACATTCGGACTAAATCAAATTATACCGTCGAACCTGCTCTAACAGCCACCTATGTAGGACAATAACCTGTATAAACTAACACTTCCCTTTTCACCCTTTGTTTTTTTTTTAATTGGGGGGGGGGGGGGGGGGGGTTGTTGTTATATTGGGTTTCTTTTTGTTCTGTTTTGTTGTTTTTAATATTATATTATAATGACACTATGCACGAAGTAGCCTGTCTAAGACGGCCACTTTCTACCTTGACAGTGGACGGCCATCTTAGAAAATTTCAACTGCACTACTGTCAAACATTATTTGTGGCTGCTGCTGTTGTTTTCAGACTTTGCAGAAGATGGGAAAGACGGCCTCGCCAAAGCAAGTGGCTGAGGCGCTGCAGGAAGTGACGATAATTGCGCGGAAAAACAGAGAACTTTCTGCGGAGTTCAAAAGTACGAACTTTCTTTTCCTTAACTCCTCTCTCTTGGTGTCTTTTTCCATGCACGTTGTCTTCTCTTACAGCACAGGCCGGTTGTGGGTGGCGAAGTAGATAGACGAACGTGAATGTAAACGTAGAGATTAAGGAAGTGGCTTCCAGTCCAAACTGGGACAATAAATCTAGTTCCTGTTCCTTCAGGAATTGGATTTTAATAGTTTGGGAGGTTCTGTTTGTTTTGGGGGGGGGGGGGGGTACGACATAGACAGACTAAATATTTGGTCGTTTCAAAGCTTAAAAATAACCCAGAGATGTGAAGCGTAGGTGGTCTGGTGTGGTTTGTTCCTTCTTTCCTATAAAAATACTATCAGCCTTATTCCTCTTTTTTTATATATATTTATTTCTTTGTTTGTTTTTATTTTTTGGGGGAATGTTTCTCTCCAGTCGCATCTCTAATCGTCAACAATATATGAACAAATTGTGTTGCAAGTGCCTAAAATTCTCTCGAAAACTAAAATTAAGAGATGCAACTTTGTAAAGGGAATATAAGAGACCTCAGACAACACCCGTTCACCAACAAACAACGTCTTCCGTTTTGGCACAGGTATTTCATAGACTGTTGGCAGGTATTGGTAGAAAGAGTATGAACCTACCCATTCGTCCGTACACAAACATATACACACACACACACTCACGCCACAAATACACAGCCTTACACTATCTCACACATACTACATGTACAACAGCTCTCTCTCTCTCTCTCTCTCTCTCTCTCTCTCTCTCTCTCTCTCTCTCCCTCTCTCTCTCTCTCTTTCCCTCTCTCTCCCCCCCTCTCTCTCTGACACACACACACACGCATATACACAGACTCTCTCTCTTTCTCTCCCTCTCTCTTTTTCTCTCCCCCCCCCTCTCTCTCTCTCTCTCTCACACACACACACGCATATACACAGACACACATACACTCATACGCAACTGTTTTTAATTTTTTAACGACCTTGCTACAAAGGGATACCCACCCCCACCACCTCTAAGAAACCCGAAACAAAACAAACACAATTAAAACCCTCAAATGTCCGTTCCATCTGTGCAGGTATTTATCCACTGCTGAAAGGAATCCGAGATGGTATGGGCTCCGGTCTCAGTAAGTCTGCTCAGGAAAACGGGAACCACAAGGTCTAAAAGGACGAGTAGGACCTCGAGGCATCAATAGGACTACAAGGACTCCAAGAACATGGGAGGATCAGGAGGTCTAAAAAAAAACACCAGTAGGACTATTGAGACCTGTAGGACCATAGATTCTTTACAACGGCAGTTGAGAATATTTGGTAGGACCATGGAGACGAAAAGGGTCAGGAGGACTAAGGGACCAGTAAGATCACGAAAACCAAGAGGAAAGTGAAAGTTGCTTCCTCACAATCAGTTTTTTTTTTACTTTACATATATTGCACTTTTACTTTTTAACAAAATACGCGAGGGTGTTTTTAAACGTATGTGATTTTGTGTGTGTGTGTGTATTTGTGTGTGTGTGTGTGTGTGTGTGTGTGTGTGTGTGTGTGTGTGTGTGTGTGTGTGTGTGTGTGTGTGTGTGTGTGTGTTAGTGTTTTGCATGTTGGCCTCTGTGTGTGTGAGAGAGAGTGGAAGAGAGAGAGAGAGAGAGAGAGAGAGAGAGAGAGAGAGAGAGAGAGAGAGAGAGAGAGAGAGAGACTGTAAATGTTTTACACCGTCATCGACACAACTTAGATCATCTAGGAGGCGGGCTGCTTCTATCCTGCCCGTCAGGGCTAATCTGAGCTACGAGGGATACAATGTACGATCAGAAAGACAGACAAATTGAGAACCTTAAAAACTCCCTAAACATAACATGTTCAAGCATGCCATCCTGGGCTTCGAATTTAAAAAAAGGCAAAAGTCGGGCATTATGCTAAACTTATGGCTTAGTTTGTGAGCCCCCCCCCTCTCTGTCTCTCTGTCTGTCTCCCCCCTCTCTCTCTCTCTCTCTCTCTCTCTCTCTCTCTCTCTCTCTCTCACACACACACACACACACAAAATAGTTTGCGCTCGGATATTTGTTGATCTTGACTTACATGTATTAGTTTTTTTATCTTACTGTAATAACATTTATTTGTTCCAAATAACCTAAGATTATATCGAAGAGAAGGTGCGTATGAGTTTGTGAGTGTATTTGTATGTGGGATTCTGTGTTCCTTGAAAACTGAGGCAGTGCGTGCTATGGAGATGTAGATGAAGATTTATTCACTCAGCTGTATAAATGATATTATATTATCAGCTTTTTTTTAATCGGTGCTCTTCTCAACAAGAAATCTTAAAAAATATATAAATTGCATGTACTGTACTTTTATATAAAAGAACTTAATATAAGTTAATCAACTTTATTTGTTCAGTGTTTGGGGGGTTTCAGAGAAGAACTGCTGGTATGCGCTTACAGTATGAAATAACTCAATGTTGTTTTCAAATGTAGTCTACATAAACGATGATGATCCTGATGTGTTGCTGTGTTGCTACGTTGTCAGAATCTGTTCCAAGTGAAATATGACTGCTACCGTGACAAACTCTTTTTCCAATTCCGACAACATAGTAACACAGCATGACATCGGGATCATCATCGTTTTCGTCAACAGTCAACAACAGCTCTTGCCCCATCGATGCCCCTCATCTTTTGCCGCTGTAATCCTTTAGTTGACTCTTCCGAGTCTCTCCAGATACAGGGAGACCTTTCTTGGCAACAGTTAGGCAATATTACAATTGTTGCCCATTTTCGAGAATAATTTCTGGTAAACCCCCGAAACCCCCTAAAGAATAAATAAATAAATAAATAAATGAATAAATAAATAAATAAAGGGAGTGCTTGTTTAGGCCAATATGGCCTACATAAGGTGGAGGCCCACACTTGCCCTTATTTAGGCTCCCTATTATAGCTCAAACTCCCCTTTTTACGCAACCGAGTTCGATCCACTTTCGCAATCGTACATCTTTCTCATTTAGTACAGTTTTGTTTCAAGTGTATGACTTGTTTAATCATAATGAAAATTATAAGAACAACGCACAATATGGAACATTTTGCTCAATATCAACTGTTTGAATGAGGGCCAGATTTTTTCCTCCATGGAGGTGCAAGAGCTAGGCTAACAGGTTGGCACACTTTGGTCTAGTGAAAAGGTCATATCCTCCGAATGGACTCCCGGGTCAAATTTGATGTGTAAACGTCGTGTACACAACGTGTGCCCTCCCGAAGGCACTCTCTTCAATTAGGCAGTTTAGTGAACGCGCTCGCGGCATTGCGAATCGGCCTCGATACACCCAGTAGACCTTTGTGATCGGCCGCAAGCCTCGGGTTATGGTGGATCTAACAACTCTCAGTTTTGTTTCGTTTTGTGAATCGCTCTAGATTTCTAGGTCTGCCACATCCCATAGCCCTGAAATCTTTTTAAGAGGATAAGAAAGATCTTCAAAATGGCGTTCTTCGTGTGCAAATCGATTCGGTAGAACTGGAAATATTTACTTCTGAAAACTACTGGCTGTATATTTATGAAACTTCAAAAATTTATAGATTGTCCAATCCAGCATCTTTTGACACTTGAGTTGTTTTGGGTGAAGTTTTCACAATGCTAAGGGGCTTTCCACAAAAATGCATACGCAAAAACCGAATGAGCAACTGCATATGAGCGGGCGGGACACACCAAACATTTTCAGTTGGTAGGAAATTTTGTTTTTTGCCCGTGTGGCCGCCGAAGCCTACTCTTATCGATTTTAGACCACCAAGGGATCTCTAACATGCACAAGTTGCACACGGGACCTCCGAATTTTTTCGCCCTTGTCCGAGAAGGCTAGGTGTAGATCTTTCCTACCAGAAGATCAGGGGTGTGGCTGAAAGGCAGCAGTGAGAGGGAGCAAAGGAGTAGCAGTAACGCCATTGGTGCAGTCTTCTATGAGAATGAGAATAATTTACCAAGAACATTTAGTAAACTAATACCCCTATAGTTATTAACATTATTTACGTTTCCTTTTTTTGTGCAAACTAAATATCATAGACTTGGCCCACTCCTCTGGATAGTTGCCTGTGAAGAAAACTGAATTGAAAAGAGGTAGGAGAAACTCAGCCAGGTCCTGGCAACCGAATTTGTAACATTCTGGCAATAGGTCGTCAGGTCCACAAGCCTATTTATGTCCAATACAATTTCGTCTCTTGAAATGGGTGAATTTAACAAATCACCTGGCTCACCACAAGGGGAGGCATGAGACTGTAAAGAAACATGAGTTCAAGCTGGTTGACTCGTCATTTCTATTGGCGTTACCACCAAACCCCGAGAAGGGGTTTAGCAATTTCTCAAAATAGACACACCAGCTTCAAACAATTCTGAATAAGAAGTTGAGTTTGTAATTGTGTATACTGTGCTTTTTTAATTTACAGAGGTTTTTAAAATGTCTTTTTCAAAGAGAGGTAGTTATCTAATGCTTCATTTGAGTAGGAAATATGAATTTCATGTAATGCTTTGTATTTTGTCTTTTTGCGTAATAGCATTTATTATCAAACCGCGGTGGTTAGGATGTATACTTTTTTAAAACCTTTTAGCACTTGTAGATTGCATACAATCGGCTGCACTTTTAACACAATTATTCAACATCACAACAGCTTCGTTTGTTTTACCTACATGGATAAGATCAGAAAAGTCATTTTGAACACATAACATGTTGTCTTCTAATGCCTGTACATAGTCTTCGACGTATGCTTTGTTCCAAAAACATTTCTGGATATCATATAATGGACACAAAACTTCTTGTTCTATGGGTTCACATTCGATGCCAGGTGCTGTAAGCGTTAGACTAAGAGGGAAATGGTCAGACTCTGAATATAAAAATACCATATTATGATGCAATCTTGGTTTTAAAAAATACTTTAAAACAATGTATTAAAATTTGCTCTTCTGAACCCAGGAGGAAGAAGTGTCACTCACTAGTCATTTTGTTAAATTTTGATTTTGATACGCTGATTCAAAATTTGACATTATTTTAACAATAGGACGTAGTTTTAATGAAGTTTATGGGAAATGTTTGTAGTCGGCGGGCCACATCTACAGCGAATTATAGGCGATTTCTAGGTTGAGAACAATAGATACAGGGTGCATGGAAGTGGAACCAAATTTGAAAAGAATATTAATCCACAAACAGGAAAAAGACGACCTGAACATCGGTGGCGCCTCTATAAATAAATTATTGATGGTCAAGGTCAAGGGCAAGGTTCGAGATCCGTCTTCTAGAGATAATTTCGAGATATCTTTTTCATTAGTTGGGTAAAAAACAATAGTCACGTGACCGTGGGCTCTGGAAGTTCGTTTTTAACTTGTTTTACCATCTTCAAGGTCTAAGTAAAAAAATAGCCCCCATGCCTCTTTATAAAATGTGGGCGTTTCCCATGAGGCCTTGAAATCCAAGATGGCCACCAAATGGCAAACATTGATTTTGCTCATTGTCTTTTCACCACAAATATGAAGTGTGATACGTCACTTATGGGTTTTTTTGGGGTCAAAAAGTTCAATTTTAGTGTCGTTTTTAGCCTTTTGTAAAATATAAGTGCAAAAAAATCCAAATGGCTGCCATCATCTGTATTGAAAATGGGAAAAACCTTGGTATCACAAATAGTAACCTAAGGTTCACGAATTAAGGACATTTAATGATTATCTCAGATAATTTTTTTTTTGTATCATTTCATATTTTTAGTATTTTCCAAGCAGTGTTAATCCAATTTGGCCGCTCATCGAATATATGTAAACACATACAGCATCGGCAGTATGGGAGTCTTGTCTATACTCTATACTTTTTGCAGAGGTACAAACCTGTGACCTGTGACCATTGATCTAAGACACTGCTGTTCAGGATTCACTGTGTAGATCTGATTTAGCAGCATTTTAGAATCGATGCAACCCGCAAAAAATATCGCTGTTTGGGGATGATGTGCAGTTTAGACATTCAAAAGACAATAATTCATAGTTAGAAAGAACATTAATCTAAAGGACAATAACTTGTTTAGTCTTTACTCTTGTCTTTATCTTGATCAGTTTGGTTTACAAACTTGCTACATTCATTATTGCTAGTAGGAATGGAGGCTGTGGTATTAAAGCTATCCAAAATTGACAATTGTTGGGGTATCGCAGGTAGATTAGGGCAAACTTGCCAGCATTGTCTATTCTACAGTTGCAACCCATGCATGGATAAGGATGGCCTGACATGACTGAGCATAATGTGAACGAAAAAAAATATTCATTCTGGTGTCCCTTCAGCAGTGACATCAGAATATCCCACAAATCTATAAGCCGCTTGGAGTATTTGTTGTGACCATAATATGTGATAAACCTGATCGAATGCAAATGTCATATTGACTACATTGGCTACTCTTCAGCGTCTGTCAGATGGCATGCATTAACATTTTAATCCAGCGAGTCTGACATCTCCAGTTGACACCTAAAACTTTTCCAAGTCTGTGTCAGGCTGTTCGTACACGTGCTTGGCAAGTTCTTTTTTTCCAACATTCTCCCAAGCTGCATTGTAGCCACCAATACGAGTTCTTGGGGTGCATTGGAAATATTTAGGTTGTCCTTTACATTGAAATATTAATTATTTCTGCTTCCTATGCTGATGAATCTGTCATGGACAAGATCTTCTCTCAACAAAAGATTACACCCAACACCATCTCCCGTTATGTTTCCTAAAGGGAAAGCGTGGCATACTGTTCAGGCTGCAACCACGAAAGTCAGCCAACCCAGTTCCTTTAAAGAGTTTGAAAGAAGCATATTCGTATGTCATTTTAAAAAATGACACCCCCCCAAAAAAAAATTGGAACGATATCCTTAAATACAGTATGGTTTTCCTCTTTGGTTTTGACTAGGATTTTGTATGTATGTTAGGCTTGTCGCTGACCATAAAGGCAAAAAGTATGGATTTTCTTGCAGTGACCGCGTAAATTTTTGATGACATCATGCAAAACAGACTTACTAGATGACTCAAGGTATGTTGCATGATTATATGATTAACTTTTCTTGAGAGGAGGCTGAGAGCATGCTTGAGCCCCGCCGTGTGGTGGAACATGTTGTTCGTCTGAGGGAGATCTGTTGTCATCCTTGTCTGCACACGATAAGGCCAGTACTGCACTCTGGAGTACGTGGCACTCAGGAACTTCCGGATGAACTGCTGGTTCACTTTTACTTCCAATTGGACATTTAGATCCCAAGTCACATCCCCTCATGATGCATCGGCTTTGAACAGAGCTAATCCTTATCAACGAAGACAATAGCAAGTTTTTCCATTGGCAATTTCTTGTGGAAAAGTAAAAGATGTTTTCATATCCTGCAAATCCGTACAGTTCGCATGCTGATACATGTATCGGCGTCACTTTTGAGAAGCGCATCGGTCAAATGTGTGCTCCTTTTGACACCGTGCATGCTTATGCCGATGTTAATGACTGTGCTCTCCCTTTCTCCACGTGCATGGTAAATCAGCATTAAAGCTAAACCATTAAGTTGTTGGTCTATAGAGATTTTGTTTTCAGATTCTTAGGCAGTCTTATACAGTTACGTTTCAAGATTAAATGGGGTCATTTCTTCACTTTCTTTAAGCTCTAATGTCAGGTAGTCACGTTACTGAGCCTCTTTCCTGTATCTGTTACGCAATAATGGCGCAACTTTTTGGATCACCTGCTGGTCTCTTATCCCAAGAGCTTGTATTGCTGACCTGGTATAATCTTCCCTTCCTTAAATATCACTCATCCTCTCATATTTGTTCTTTTCCTTTTCGTACTTAAAGCCCATGGAATCTCTGCATTTCTCAGTACGTAACTCAGATCGATATGCCGATTTCATACCCCCAACTGCATACCCACAGTCATCGGCAATGTGCTTGTGATCTTCAAGAAGGGACTTCAAGGAACGTATATTTGTCCTTTAAAAATTTGTTATGCCATCAAAATGTTTTGTTAAAAAAAATCTGAAAAATGTATTTTCTGAAGATGCATTGCCGAACCAGACTGCCCACCGCCTTGGGATACGTGCTTGTTCCAACATGCAAGGTGGTAGTGGTATCTGATGTTTGCAAAAGAACCAGACAGGGAGGAAGTAGACAAGGAAACTTTTGATAGTCCACCCTTCATGTCTGGATCTTCACGCAAGAAATGTCTTGCCGTCGTCGCTTGAGGTTTAAAGTTCAAGGGTCTTTTAAAGAGTGCGTGTGTGTGGGTTAAAAAAAAAAAGTATTATAATGTGAAAGAATCAGAAGGTGCAAGAAATAGTTCCAAGGGACATCTGTCCACTGAATGGATTCATAGAGATCATACATTTATCAAGCCCTCACCACTTTCAGATCTTGCTTTCACAGTGTTTCACGGAGACTGGTATACGAGATGAGCGGGTTTGTGTACCTTTTTCTATACATGTGTTTCAGCAAACACTCACACCAGACAGACACATTGTTCTCGTATAAAAAAGAAGTTTTGGAGTAAAAATATAAGTGTTATACTGACATCATTTTTTTCTCAATCTTTATGTAGCATTTATCTGAAAAGAAGAGAAATACCAGTTTAGAGGCGGGATGGATACAAGTAAATACCTCTGGAGCGAATATATTTGACCCATTATAAGTTAAAATACAAGTAGGGCATTCTTTACCATCCGCAGGCAAAATGGGACAAATATTCCTCTTCACTGTAAGCGATAAGGCAACCGCAATTAGAACCAATCACAACTAGTCAACATCTATGAATGATTTTATTGTTGGAGACAGTATAGCTCGCGGTGCGTAGTGCGTAGCTTAGTTTCAAAATGGTAAATTTGAATCAGTTTTCTCTTAAGAACAAGAATTTAAAAAAATAGTGTATATAAATTGGCAACGCTAATTCTATCTCATCAGTTAGTGTTTAAAACTTGCTCTTTTGGAATTTCCGATTTTTCGGGGATGTTTTTACTCTCATTGTCAAGGAATGTCGAGTTAAATTAAAGTAGGTTTTGTTACAACACGCACAATGCCTTATTTGCATTGCATCGAAATGCCGTCCGGGGAATCCCGCTGTGTTATAGGCTAAATTTTTGCAGTTCCTTTACAATTGTTTTGTTCTTCCTCTTTCTGTATGATAAATACTAGATCTACAGTAATGCATTCAACCTGTTTATGTGTATGCCACAAGTCACAAAGTGGACGAATCAAGTTCAAACGGTTTCAAATAATGGATCAAAACTTAGGGTGATAATGTCGTGATTTTGGAATTGTGAAAAACGCGATCGAAGACATTGTACCCAAGCGAAAGCAAACAAAACAGTCCATTGCGGTGATTATGCTAGCCAGTTACCTGAACTTTTTTGCATCTTAACAGCGTGCTAAGTTTACATGAAATTATGTACAACACCCACCATTTTCAAAAAGGCACGGGAGCTAAATTCTCTTTTTAACTCATAAAGTCTCCAAAAAGCCAAAGAACGCAACTTCCGCGCTCCACGGTCACGGAAGGTTTCATTTTGCTTCAACTTCATATTATAGAAAAGTCATAAAAAGATATGAAAGTTAGTGTCAGACTTTCTGTTTGTGCTTGTCGTGGATGTCGTTTTTCATAGATGCGCCTATGCACATGTATTTACGCACACGGACAAAGAAACACCAAAAGGAACTTGAAGTTATAAATAGTTACAGCAATATCGTACTTAAAAGTCAAGTTCTATTTTCACTGAAGTTGTTTTAATATGAAAAAAACAATTGTTAAGGATCATATGCTATTTTGCAGTTTAGCTTTTGTTCCAATAATATCATCATTATACCCAGTGCCCAATGACGGATCGGTTTCCTAATACAAACCTATCGCCAACCGAACGCCCGACTCGCGACCTGAAACCAACCAACCAAACAAATAAACAGAAACAACTACAACAACAACAACAACAACAGCAGCAGCAGCAGCAGCAGTAACAACAACAACCACAACAACAACAACAACCACAACAACATTAATAATAATAATAATAATAATGACTACTACTACTAATAATAATAAGAAGAAAGAACAACAACAACAACAACAACAACAACAACAACAACAACAACAACAACAACAACAACAACAAAACAGCAAAGATCGTAAAGGGAAACAACTTATACTAATTTGCCACTTTCTGGAGTTGCACCCCTGAAACATCGCCACGTCCCTCGTCATGGCACACGTAGAAGATCGGGTGTTGTAGTTCTGACACGCCCACAGAAAGACCCTAAACCTGAGCAACTTGGAGGCATCTATATGTCTATATCATATTTGTAAAAGTTCTTCATTTTAGTCGCCTAAAACTTCCAAACCAATTTACTTTCGAATTTGAAAAAAATAACGGTGGTTCGGAATCATTTATAGGATGCATAGTTATAATAATATTAACTCTCTAGTGGATCACTACCTTGTTGTGGTTAGAGAGCTTGTGTGCCTCCTCTGTGACCCCAAGAGCTAAGCTGGCTGGAGCTAATGCTCCTGGTAGGGCCACCCATGCCAGACAGGTCACGGGTAGAGGTCAGACGAAGCGTGATCCACTGGCCCTCCAGGTTCCGGAGGTTCAGCTCAGGGCTAACAACCCAGACTGGTAAAAATCATAATAACATGTTACGGAAACAGCAACAAAGAGAAACCATATTTCTGAGTGTGATGGACTTTCAGAGTCTCTTGGGACTCGTATGAATGCTGGCAGTGAAAGCCGCAAGGAAGATATTTGCAGGAAGATGGAGGGCCTGAACACCGCAAAGACAAAAGTTATCACAGGACTGTGGAATGTAAGGACAATGTACGAAACTGGTAAGTTGGCACAAGTAACGGCAGAGATGAGGAGATATGGATTGCACGTTCTGGGCATAAGTGAAAGCCACTGGACAGGATCCGGCAGGCTGAGAACAGCAACTGGAGAAACACTGATCTATTCTGGCAGAGAAGACAACCAACATAGGAAGGTGTAGCTATCATCCTGAAAAAGGGACTTCAGAAATGCCTCATGGAGTGGAAACCGATCAACAGCAGAATGATGACACTGAGACTGAGGGGAAAGCACACCAACACAAGCATCATGCAATGTTATGCCCTTACTAACGACAGTGAAGATGAAAGCAAGGACTATTTTATGAACAGCTGCAGAGGGAATTGACAGGTATATCTCGTCACGACCGTATCGTTGTAATGGGCGATCTGAATGCTAAAGTAGGAGAGGACAAAACCAACTATGGGAGAACGATGGGAAAACATGGTACGGGTACAACAAATGAGAACGGTGAAAGACTAGTGGACTTCTGCGTATTGAACAACTTGGTGATAGGCGGAACCCTCTTCCCACACCGTACAATCCACAAACTGACCTGGAATTCTCCAAATGGCAGGGACAAGAACCAGATTGACCACCTTATGATACGAGGAATGTGGAGACGTTCCCTACACGATGTGAAAGTCAGAAGAGGAGCCGATGTTGGCAGCGATCCACATCTAGTGAGGGCAAGGATAAAACTCATGCTGAAGAAAACATTCACCAGGGAGGCGAAAAGGACGCGATTTAATGTTCACAAGCTCAGTGATGGCAATGTGAGATCTGCCTTCCGACTAGAACTAAAGAACCGATTTCTAGCTCTCCAGGACCTGGAAGAAACCACCCCCAATACAGATGAAGCCAATACCCAATGAAAACATATTGTTGAGGCCTACACAGAGAGCAGTAAGACATGTCTCGGTGTCAAGAAAAAGAATGCAAGCAAAGAATGGATACAGCAAGGAACATGGAATACTATTAAATAACGGAGAGAAATCAAGAAAAGACAGCTTGCAGCTAAGTCAATACGGCTACAAGAGAAGTACGCTGAGGATTACAAGGAAGCTTGCCAGAAAGTTAAACGACTGATCAGGAAGGACAAAAGAGAAGCGATGGAAAAGTTGGCAACTGAGGAGGAGGAGGAGGCAGCTTCTAAAGGTGAACAAGGCAACGTATACAAGATAACAAGAATAATATGTGGCAAATACCAAGGTGGAATGAGTGGACCAATCAAAGACAAGGCTGGCAAGCTGCTGACAATCGAGAAGGAACAGGAAGCACGCTGGACAAAACACTTCAGGGAAGTCCTAAACCAACCTCCATCTGAGGGCACCCCAGACATATAGGAAGCTACCTTGGATCTGGATATCAGCTCTGACCCACCACAGAAACACGAGATTGTAAAAGCTGTTAAGAGTCTGAAATCAAGAAAATCTCCAGGAATGGACAACCTGAATGCTGAATTGCTTAAAGTAGACCCATAACTGATTGCCACCATTGTTCTGCCACTATTCAAAACCATATGGGAAGGAGAACAGATTATCGAGGACTGGAGCACTGGAGTCATTGTTCAAGTACCAAAGAAAGGAGCTCTTAGAGACTGCAACAACTGGAGAGGTATCACGTTGCTG